CGAGCGGAGCTCCACTTCATCGAGGAACGGAGGGACCTAGCGGCTCGTCGCATGGAAGAGTACCACAGGGCCACACAGAGATACTTCAACAAGGCTGTGAAATTCCGCGAAATAGAAGCCGGGGACCTCGTACTCAGAAAAAGAGAGAAGAGCAAACCACTCGAAGGTGGCAAAATGGCTAAGAATTGGGAAGGACCTTACCAGGTAATCAGAAGATACAACCAGGGGACGTTCCTCCTCCATACCCTGGAGGGGAACCATGCCGGGATGTGGAACATAGAACACCTGAAGAAGTTCTATCAATAGTTAGAGGCTGTTGTCTTTGTATTATTCCCATTCCCATATAAAACGACCGAACGTCGTCAATAATAAGACCCCCTGTTTCTCACCACTTCTGCTCTTACCAACGGTCGCCAAGAAAGGGAATCTCGATGTAGATATACCTGTCCGTCCCTGCGGATTCCTTGGGTACCGAACGTCTTCTTCGAAGCAAGAGACGCCGGTAAGACTAAAAGGACCACGGACGAACGAAGAAAGGGGGAATCTCGATGTAGATAAACCTGTTCCTCATTGTGATGTCTGCGGATACCGAACGTCTCCTCGAAGTAGGAACGCCGGTAGGACCAAGGACTAATGACGAACGAAGAATATAGATTGCCTCCCTCAAAAAAAAAAAAAAAGATGGGGAGAAGAGGAGGGTAGCTCCTGTGCGGAAGGGAATCTTGCCCGGGCGTGCCAGATCTTCCCCCACTGCCGAAGGCGAACGCCTCTCGATGTAGAGGTCAGTAGAGACGCGGAGGGGGCTAGACGAACCAAGGGAGCTTGCCAAGATAAAACCTGTTTATCCCACAAATGACCATGGATCGATGGATGTGGGATAACAAAGACGGGAACCCGTGAGGGTAAACCTGTTCGTCCCTGCGAGTTCCTTGGATACCGAACGTCTTCTTCGAAGCAAGAGACGCCGGTAAGACTAAAAGGACCACGGACGAACGAAGAAAGGGGGAATCTCGATGTAGATAAACCTGTTCCTCATTGTGATGTCTGCGGATACCGAACGTCTCCTCGAAGTAGGAACGCCGGTAGGACCAAGGACCAATGACGAACGAAGAGTATAGATTGCCTCCCTCAAAAAAAAAAGATGGGGAGAAGAGGAGGGTAGCTCCTGTGTGGAAGGGAATCTTGCCCGGGCGTGCCAGATCTTCCCCCACTGCCGAAGGCGAACGCCTCTCGATGTAGAGGTCAGTAGAGACGCGGAGGGGGCTAGACGAACCAAGGGAGCTTGCCAAGATAAACCTGTTTATCCCACAAATGACCATGGATCGATGGACGTGGGATAACAAAGACGGGAACCCGTGAGGGTAAACCTGTTCGTCCCTGCGAGTTCCTTGGGTACCGAACGTCTTCTTCGAAGCAAGAGACGCCGGTAAAACTAAAAGGACCACGGACGAACGAAGAAAGGGGGAATCTCGATGTAGATAAACCTGTTCCTCCTTGCGATGTCTGCGGACACCGAACGTCTCCTCGATGTAGGGACGCCGGTAGGACCAAGGACCAAGGAGGAACGAAGACTAAAAGACTCCAAAAAAAAAAAAGATGCCAGAAGAGCATGGAGCAAAGAATGATTTTATTCTTCGGCACTATTGGCCGGGAAACTACAATGTGCGAGGGTACAATGCCAATAATGAAAAAAAAAATTGTACAAGTACAAGACAATGAACGGAGAATCACTGCCGATCGACGTCCGGAGTTGGAGCCTTGGAAAGAGTCTGCTTGGCCTTTTCCCTAGCTTCGGCTTCCCCCTGCTCCTTCAGCAGCTCAAGGGCCCCCGCATGGGCATCTGCCATCAGGACGTCAAAGCCAGCCGCCTCCGGATCAAAAGGAGCCCCGAAGTGACGCTCGAACGTCAGGAGATTCTCCGCTACTAGCCCAACCATACCCTTGCGGTAGGTATCGTCGGCGAGATCATCAAGAAAACGCCGTCCGGTGGGGGTGGCCTGAAGCAACTTAACCCCATCCAGATAGGCATCCGGGCATGTGGCTAGAAACTCGCCGACGAGCCTCGGGAGAAACTTCATGGCCATGGTATGAATGGCGCCGGTGTAAGCCTTGGATTTTTGGAACGCTATGGATCCAGCTTCCTTGATTTTGGCAACATCGGCCTCATAGATGGGGACATGATTGTCCACGCCCGTACGACGGAGTTCCACCTTGGCCTGCTCAACGGCCCACATCCGGCTGCGAAGATCCACAAGCTCGGCCTCCTGTTTCTTGAGGAGCTCCTTCTGAGAAGCATTTTCCTGAACGAGCTTGTCATAGGCGTCGACTTTCTCTTGAATAGTTCCAGCCCTGCCTTTTGCGTTCCTCAGAAGGGCGTCACATTCGGCCCGTACCCTGGCCATCTCCCTGCCCTGGTGCTCGAAGGCCATCCGAGCCCTGTGAAAGTAGAGCCCGGCCTTATCTAGGGTGCTTTGGCCACACTCCAAGAGATCTTCAGGGGCCTCCTGAGCAGCGAAGTCCTGCGGAACCTTGAGATTCAGCCCACACCAGATGGAGGACGCTGTCTGGCCGAAGAGCATCATTGATTCTTTGCGGGGACCAACCCCGGAGAACTCAATCAGGCCAAGAGAAGACCCACTAGCTTCTGGGGGCGAATTTGGACGAGCGTCGTCAGAACCATTGGCAGCTTGGGCATCATCATCCCGGAGACGCCGGACGTCAGAATTCCGCGGAGGAGAAACACGGGGATTGATCCGGGAAGTGGGCTTCCGCTTGAGGGGACTTCCGGGCTCCCCATCAGAGTCATCGGCCACGATGATGGCCTTGGAGGAGGTGCCCTCAACACGCGGCCTCTTGGAGGCGCCGGCCCCCGAAATATCATCAGCCCGTGCCCTGGTCACCCGAAACTCGACCTTGGGGACAAGCGGCTTCACGAGCTTGTCGTGCCCCTTGTGTTCACGGCCGGCAGCGGTCGAAGCAGTATTAACACGGCCCATGGTAGACGTGGATGGAAAAATTCCTGCACAAAGGAAACCAAGACGTTCAGAACCATAACAGCGAAGGGATGTTAAGACAAGACAAGTACAAACGGACGCACCTAACCCAGCCTGAGCTTTAAAAGGCTCGGCCACCAGCAACCAGAGGTTCTGGATGCCAAGTCCGGCTATGCGCTTGGCATATCCGAGCTCCTCGTCCGTCATGGGCGGCGGAATCGTCTTCACCGGGTAAGCATTCCACCGATCAGAGAATGGCATCGGTGAGCCTATTCCGGCCAGGAAGAAGCGCTCTTCCCAGCCGTCCGGATTCCCGACGTTGTTCGAGAACAGGACCATGGACGGACGGGCGATCAGGGTCAAATACCCCGTGCGTCCGAAGGGGGACAGCCGGAAGAAATGGTGCAGCAGGTCCACGGTGGGGGTCACACCGACGCTGTGGCATCTAATGATGAAGCCGGCGATTATCCGATAGGCGGCAGGGACGAACTGCGCAAGCACTATCTCAAGGGCCCTGAAGAGTTCCAAGTGGAAGCTGTGTAAGGGGAAGTTCAGCCCGGCTATCACCGAATCCAAATGGACCACCACATAGCCGGGCAGGTGGCGCATGGGATTGCGCAGACGCCGATCGTCGTAGGTCCTTGGAGGATAGAACCATTGGCTGATCATACGCTTGTCAGCGTTCGTCAGGCGTTGAGTTTGACGCCGGACGCACGAGAAGCTGAGACTGTAACGGGGAGGCCGAGGCGGCATCCCCCGCTCATAGTATTCCAAGTCATCGCCGGAAGAACAGCCATCGTCGAAACGGTTTTCAAAAGACATGGCAACGAACGGTACCTTGGGAGTCCTAGAGAAGTGTAGAGAGAGAAGGCAATTGTGCAGCGTAAGGAGAAGTATGAATGAATTACATGGGCTCTGGGTACTTATAGGCAGCACCGTGGAAACACGCCAACCAAAGTAGGACACGTGGCGCCTGGATACCGGTACCAACCACGGTATTTAAGGTACCTCGATTCCGTCGCCGCATAATCATGACAAGGAAGGCCAGATCGGGTCCACGAACGTCCAGCGAGGAACTCGGGACGCCCAGAGGTTGCTTATCATCGGCTGAGACCAATATCTGCAGCTTGCGGGAGGCATGCGCATCAACGGACTACGTCCGTCCTTCCATACTTCGTGCCACGAGAACATGTAGACCAGACGAACGTCTCCCTACGAAGTTGGGGTGGAACGCGTGCGGCATGAACATCCGTGTCTACGCATACGACGGATGGACGTCGTCATCAAAGGATGGTCCTGGGGAGTACGTTCATAATTCCATACTTGAGAGGTTTTCCATTGACCAAGGAGGCAACCACCGACGAACGTCTTCTCACGACATTGAGGATGGCTACGAATGACGGCTGGAGGTGTGCCCTCATTTGTAATGATCTGAACGTCGCCGTCAGAACACGGATGACAGCATCGGTGCCGAGCGTCGATACCCGAAGATAAACATTAGCAATACCACCGTGTACGTACGAGGGTTTGATAAGGGGACGCCGTTGCCCAAAACAAATAAGGTATGGATATGAACGTCCTAGAGACTTTAACCGTGCGTCAAAGTGTGGCGAGGCACGAAAGGGGATTCCACATAACAGACGATAAAGGAAAGAAAGCGCCAAAGTAAGGGAGCATGAACGTAAAAGGCAATTTTGGACAAAAAGGCATGTATATTCTTCAGCGCTAACGGCTGGGCAGTACAAGTCGAAATAAAAAGAAGTATGAATTACATTTACACCATAAAAGGGGACTCATGCCGGCTGCCTCCCGGAATCTGCTCCTCTTCCTCGGCTTCGGGCTCAGGGGTTGGGGGTTCCGGAATTTCCCCTCTGGCTTTGGCCTCCTCCCGCCGTTGGTCCCTCCCCAGCTTCCCCAAGGCTTGAAGCAGCAGATCGTCATCTGTGTTCGCGGCCAGCTCGAAGTCGGCCCCCTGCAGCCTCGAGAAAATGGGAAGGGTGGCCTTGACCCCCTCATTGTAGCCAGCGGCGAAGGTACTGTAGCCGACCTCGTAGAGGAACTTGTGGGACAGGGGAGAGCTCTCCAAGATCCGGACGCTGCATGCCAGACGTTGCCGGGGCGGAATCTTTGGTAGCGCCGCAGAGAACACGTCCCCGAAGGCCCCGGCGCAGTAGTCCTTGGCGGAGTCCATGAACTCCCCAGTGTTCCGGTAGCCGGAGGTATCAACCAGCCACTCCGGACTGGCATCCTTTGCAGCAGGGTGCACCGGGACAAGCTTGAAGCCAGCTTTCTCAAGGCTAACCAGCTGCTGGCGGGATTCTGCTTGCAGGGCGGCGATCTCCTTCTCCTTGGCCGCAGATTCCGCCTCGGCTCGGCGGGCGGCCTCCCGAGCTGCAGCAACGGCTGCCTCGGCCTTGGCCTTAACCTCTTTCAGGTCGGCCTCCCTAGCAGCCTCAGCCTGAAGGACCAGAAGCCCAGACTGGAGGAGAAAAGGAAAAAACAATGGTCAGAGGATGAGCGCCGAGGGAAGGGTATATTAAGATCTGGTAATAAGGGGTTACCTGAAGAGCGGCTGCCAAGGCAGCACTGGTCGCCTCAGACGACGAACGGCGGGGCAACTCAAGACCGGCCTTGAGGGCCATCTCCCTCCAAAGGTCTTCCGCCGGACGGCTCAAAGGCAGGGAGCCGGCGTCTTCGAGCAGAGGCCCGGAGGAGACTGCCTCACGGCCCCTCTTCTGCTTCTTCTCGGGGACCTTCTCCGTCCCCTTATGAGGAGCCGCCTTCGAGGGGATGACCGGCGGTGGAGGGGCAGCTTCGAGAGCAGGGGCCCCAGAACCCTGAGCCAGCATGGTGGCAATTAAGTGCTGCTCACCCTCAGCAGTTCGTCGGGCAGCATCAGAAGCCGAGGAGTTTGAATCCGAGGCGAGGGCATTCTTGGCTTTCGCCATTGCGGCTTTAGCAGCAGCCGCCTTGGCCTTCCTTGTCTTCAGGCACTCAGCGTGATTCATCTGAGCTCTGTCTGGTGGAGAACCTGCAGGAAACAATAAAGGGTTAAAAGACGAGCGGAGAATGAGACAAGACACTCACCTCAAGGACAGGACCGCCCGGTGCCCCGAGACGAGCGTCGAAGGGTGGAAAAAGTCCAGGAACACGGGCGGTACCTATGCCTGCCCCGGAGAGTGCCTCGAAGGTCAGATATCCGGCTATAGGGCAGACGCCGCCCTCCAACACCTTATCCACATCCCAAAGCAGATCGTCGGACGGCTCCGGTGACTCAATATTCGGGGGATAGCCATTCCACCGGACCGGGAGGGGAGGTCCATCGTATCTGAGGAAGAAGAAGCGGTTCTTCCAGTCGTGGATAGACGAAGGGTAGTTATTGAACAGCCGTCTTCCGGGACGTGCGGCCACGCTCAGATACCCGTCAGAGTTCTGGGGAGTAATGCGGTAGAAATAATGGAACAGGTCCAAAGTGGCAGTGACTCCCGCAAGCTTGCAGCGCACCAAGAAGGCCGATATGAACCTATAAGAGTTTGGCATGAATTGCGCCGGGGCCACCTGGAAGCAGTGGAAGAACTCCACATAGAATGCATGAAGTGGAAACCGCAGCCCGGCTTCTACGGAGTCCAGGTGAAGCATGATCATCCCCGGACGTCGCCTCATCACGTGCTCGGCGCCTCTCACGCTCCAGACGAACGGCGGGGGGAAGAAAGTGCGGATTTTGTTAAAAGCCACGCGGGAAAGGACTTGATCATGGTCGAGGGCGCTTCTGATCGGACAAATGTGGCGCTCCATGTCCGTAGGGATGCCCAGATCATGCACCTCCATATCAGAACCTGATTCAGCCTCTTCCCCGGAATCATAATCGGCGGGGCGCTCATTCAGGGGGACTGCATCAATAACATCCACTGCCCCATCGGCGCCCCCGTCCCCGGCGTCGCTCCCACTACCTTGGGAAGCGTCATCCGGCTCGCCATCAGCCCGGATGGTCCCCACCGTCGTGGCCAAACCAGAGGTCCCAGAAACACTGGCCTTCCCCGGGGAGCGCGCATTCACGTCGTCAGAAGAGGAGCCCGAAGAGGAACCCGACGAACCGGAATCGGAACTTGACAAAATCTCCATCGAAGTCATTTCGGCTAGGAGTCGGAACAAAGAAAAGAAGCAGAGGAGGGAGTTTACCTTACAAAGAGACTAGCTGAACTCAGAAGCCAAGCAGAGAACTCGAAGAACAGCGGAGATTCTGAAGCAAGGGAGCAGAAATTGGGAACCCTAATTCAGGGGGAAAACCCGGCATTTATAGGGGGAACACCGGTTAAGGGGCCAACGAGGGGTTGACACGTAGCGAGGGGCGTGGTCCGGCTCACGCGCCATGCGTGGGATGGAAGCGTAATGATGACACTTCCTCGGGAAAATGCGCCGCCGCTACAGCAGCCGTCACCTCGTTTCCTGAACCGTCGACAGCTGTCAAGCACCATGACCACGAGCGTACACCCCCACCAGATGCAATAAGCACAAGTATCAAGACACAGGCGTCTATTTCGAGGGACTTCATACTTCCTTATGTCCTGCGCATGCTCAGAACATCAGAAGTGGGGGACTTGTGTTGGGTTAATGGCCCAAGCCGAGGTCCGACCCATTAACCCCTCCTTACCAGACGCACGTCCAGTCAGAGCACAAGGCTAGCCCGCAGGCCCATGTTCCTTAAGGAAGGACGAGCGTCCGGGGTTTGGGGTTCAGGCCCAACGGCTCCTCTTGACGAGCGTCTATACAGAGACAAGGAGCAGGACCACGGGCTACCAGGGATGACGACGAACGTCTCCGGAGCAAGCCTGTAGTCATCGGAGGAAATCTAGTCCACATGGTGATTATCCATTAAGGGCCAGAAGACGAACAGCCGATATCTCTTGGGGGTCACTTGGAGTAATCCAACTCACTTCCCGGACGGACGAACGTCCCCACTGATTAGGCGGGAAACCTAGATTCTGGCGGGAAGTGCATTTAATGTTGAAGATTGGGTGGTTGGGGCACCAGCGGTCCACAGGCTGCCACGTCAGTATAGCCACCTGCCCATTGGTGGGTATAAATAGAAGCATTTATGTCATTGTAAAGGGTTGGCAACTTTCTATTCTTAGCATTCTAGCTTATTCGTCTTGCTCGCAGCTGAGATTACTGCCTAGCGAGACGAACGGCCGACGTGCCTTTTTTAGTAAGTAGATTGTACTTAGGGGAGTTATTACGAAGTTAATAATACCTATTTACATTGCCTGCTATTCCCTCTGTTTCTTGATCCGTCTGATAGTTGTTGGGCTAGATATTCACATACTCATACACTCACTCCACTCGAAATCTTTGGGCTTACGTGTTGGGTCCAAGGGTTGAAGGAATAAACCTCAACAACAGGACAATCAGTCATGGACCCGGGCCGGTTCCAGTTCCGGGCCGGGCTCGACCGGGCTTCTTTTTTGGGAAGGAAGAACCGGGACCGGCCCGGATAGCCACCGGGTCCGGGCCGGGCCTCAGGTCAATTTTTTTTTCCTTTTCCTAATTACCCCCCACCCCACCCCCCAAACCACCCCCAATGGCCCAAAATACCCAGCCCAACCCGAAAAGTTAAAAAAAATTGAAAAAAAATAATTAAAAAGCCCGGAACTGGGCCGGTTGGCCGGTTCGGCTTTTGGGTGACCCGAGCCCGCACCGGGAACCCCCCGGGACGGGCCAACCCGGCCTGGTCACTGGCCGAGCCACCGGGCCGGTTCAGCACAGTACCGGTCCCGAGCCGGTTCCGGGTCGAGCCACCCGGCCCGAGTCCATGACTAAGGACAATATAATGGGGACGGATGGAGTATTTGCTATTCTTATTTTGACCTCATTGGCCATTGCGTAATGTGCTTTGGCCTTACCTCTAACTTGGACTTGGCTCGTTAAAGTTCGAATTTGACTCCTTTGTTCAAGGAAACAAGTTGAGCTCGAGCTTGTTGACTACTCGATTAGCTTAACAAGCTGAGCTGGCTTGAGTCGATAAGAAGAGCTCATGAGTAAGGCATAATTGTCATTCCATCTAATACATTGCATTTGAGCCTGGTTTCGAGTTTGAGCTATACATGACTGTGTTTATTTATTTACAAATAATGAGCACAACAAACATTAATGTATGTGGAGGTAAGAAAAGGTTGAAACCAGCGAACCCGAAAAATTTGATGCTATCATAATAGCTAAGGAAGCCACAAAGAAAGCTGATTTAGCACCGGATAAATTAGAGGCTGCCAAAGCTACCGAGGAGCCCACTGTGAAGGCCATTGAGCTCACTGTGAAGGCCATTGTTGTGCAGGAGACTGTTGACCCCGAAGGACCATTTGAGGAAATACGTAGGAAGAAGGGCAAAAAGAATTTGAAGCCGGTGAAAACTCCTGATACCAAGTCTGTCACGCACAAGCCTACTGCTAGCAAAGCTAATAATGATAAGTCTAATTCAGGTGGGGGCAGACTGTTTTTTCCGGGGTTTAATCTTGAAGGAGCAAGTGAGAATTTTGAAGATAAAGAAAAGGAAGATAACGAAAATGAGGGGGCTCCATTTCAAATTGATGTAAGTGTGCTTCAAGAAATTTGGAAGAAGAAAGGAACGCAAGATAGATAGTATGCTTATAGGTTGCTTTTGTTTGTTTAATGTTGTTTAGACTGTTTTGGAACACAGCCGGGGCCTGTCCCGTGCAAGGACTTATTTTGTGATTTTATCTATTTAGGTTAGTCTTGACTAGCTTAGATAGATTCCAATGGGTAGATTTTCGACACATTGTATTATGTTATTTTTTCTTAGGTGCTAATAAAATTTACATTTCATCCAAAAAAAGGTAAGATACGAGTCCGTAGTTTAATGAAAAAACAAAAATGCTATGTGTGCATAGCTTGTACACAAGATGTACATTGTATAAAAGCCCAAAATAAACTCCACCCAAAATTTTTACCCCTCCGCCCTACTTCACTCCCATCACACTCCATCGCTTCTCTTCCCTCTCTATCTTTTCGTTTCCTTAGACTACGCCTCTTTGTTTTTTTTTTTTTGCTTTCTTTCATTTTGGACTGATCTTCAAAATCTCTTGAATTCGGGCACAGAAGCTTCAACCCCTCAAGGCTTCAACTAAGTAGGCTATAAAATCTGGAATGGAGACGGGCAAAAATGGCCATCGGAAACTTAAGTCGAGCATATGACGATCTTGGTCTAGCCACTCCTCTCTTTACTATCCGAGGTCGGCAGAGAAAGTTTTCGCATGGACTCATGACCTGGATCATTCCTTTGTCTCAAAAGTCAAAACCATGATTATTAGGGTAGTCTACTCCTTGTTTTTGTATTCATATATAGGGTTACAATTTTTTTTTTCCTTCAGTTTTTAGTAAATGATACTCCGTTGTATATTGTGATGGTGAACTCTTGACTATTTTATCTCATTGATACAGAGTATAGGTTTATGGAGTAAACCATTTGAAATTGTAGTCCAACTATTATATTTCATTTGTATGCTCATTACATGTTTGTTGAAATGTTTTAATGAATGTTTTTCATATCTAAGTTGCTCTTTACTTTTTCCTTTTCTGTTTCTTTTTTTTTTCCCAAAAGAAAATATGAAGGCAATTTCCAGCAGTGTAGATATATGTTCTTACAATTTTGCAAAAAGGAAGCACAACCTCGTAACTTGGTTGACTCCTCAGGGCCTCCCCTACGGTTCTCACCTTTGATTAAAAATTGCTACTTCCACTTCATACTCACTGTTTAAACAAAAATTGTAATCGTGAAATTTACAAATGGTTTTGCTTCCCAGATGTTCAACATATTACACTCACCTATTACACTCGTGGTAATTGAAATTTATTGGCTGTATGTATCCTCACAGAACTTCATCCTTGTTTTGTCATTCAACTTATCCAGAATTCTCCATGTCACAGCATCAGGGGTAGGCCCATTCTTTCTCATTTTTCCCACAATTCAATCCACTTCTGCCTTCAACCCCAATTGAGAAGCACCATGAATGACAATGTTATAATTCACAAGACACAAAGAAACCCCAGAATCCATCAATTCGTATGAAGAAATGACAAGCTCCCTCCACTCTCTCAGCCCAGCAAAGCCCTTTAAGAATTGCAGAATAAACATATTCACCATGAACTCCGGAGGCCAAACAATGGCATCCCAGAAGCCTTTTACTTCATCAATCCACCCGAATCAAATAACCTGTCAATTACAATTGTGTGAGTTATAGGGTTGGCAGGCACTCCAGAGCTATTAAAGATCTCCATTGCACAGCGGGATTACCGCTCAAACAGACTGATCTTATATGTATCGTAAATCCTAGTTTTATCTGCAGATTTTATGTTTGGCATGATCCTCAGGACATGCTTTGTCTAAGGCCCATATTTGGTTCAAATGGTGAACTATTATTTGATGGCAAGATAGGTATATTTCCTTTCACAACAAAAGAGGCAGCAAAGAGAGGCAGTAAAAATAGGCCTAAGGGAACTCTAGAGACCAAGGCAGTCACTTCCATCACCAAAGAAGTCACAAGAGATTGCCTACTTTACAAGATTCTACCTGCAATCAAAGAGAAATGGCCCAAAGGTGCAAGTAAGACCATTTTTATTCAACAAGATAATGCTAAACCTCACATTAATCCGGAAGATCCAGAATTTGTGAATGCTGCCACCAGTGATGGGTGGGACATTCATCTCTTATTCCAGCCTCCTAACAGTCCAGATTTAAATATTTTAGATTTGGTTTTTTTTTAGGTCTATTCAATCACTACAACAAGAATTTAAAATGAAAACAGTGGATGACCTAATTAGTGCTGTGGAAAAAGCATTTCAAAACCTAGAAGCTGAAAAGCTTAATGATGTTTGGATTACCCTACAATATTGCATGATTGAAATCATGAAGGTTGAAGGTTGTAACAAGTATCGGTTGCCACACATTGGAAAAGCAAAGCAAAGGAGGCAAGGGGAATTGATGCAAGAAGCCACTGTTACACAACAACTAATCCATGAAGTTGTAAACTACCTCAACCAGGCTATGATCACTGAAGGAGAGGACACATAGGATATCAACTAGCTTTATGAGCTATGACGGAGTTGTTTAAGCATAAACTGCCTTTTTTTTTGACATTTTGAGGTTGTTTAATCTTAAACAACATGCTTTTTTGTCTACCAATGCTTAAGATGTAATTCTCTTAAACTATTCAGGTGGTATGAATATAAGTTTATATTAAGCTTTTAAATAGTTTTACATATTTCCAGAAAATTCTATTAAACCACACTCCCAGAAAGCAAAATTCCTAAGGGACAGAATGCTAAAAAAATCTGATATTCTTGGGGGATATCTAAAATACTTAACGTAAAAACATGGAATAGATATATAAAGAAAAAAAATTAAAAAAACTGATATCTTGATGTAAACCTCAAAGCATTAGAAATCAAGAGAAATTAGGGGTTTTTTGGGTACCTTTATTAGGTTGGGGTAATATGAACTTGGCTATGAATTCTTCCGTCCTTTTCTGGCTTTCTGGACTGCAACGGGGATAACAAGAGCTTGGAATGAAACTTTGGTTTCCTGCTACAGCTCGAACGGTAGCGCAAGGGTCATCTGATTTGCTTTCATCTTCTTCAACCTCGGAATCAGACACATAATCAAGATGACATTCGCTATCTTCAACGATCAATTCTTCAATTTTAACAGGGATTTTTGGGGTACCTATCTTTTGGGGTAATATGTACGTCACTATAAATTCATCAAGCCGCTTCTGCATTTCTGGACTCCAATAGAGATGAGATGAGATCGGAATCCCTTCTACAGCTCGAACACCAGCCCAGGACTCAGCATCTGATTTGATTTCATCCTCTTCAACCTCGGAATCGGACACATAACCCAGAGGGTCGTCTCTGTCGAACGACATCTGATTACAACGATATATGGGATTATGGTTAGGAAGAAAGTGGAAAACCTATGAACAAATTAATTGGAGCAGATTTGTGAGTTCTTGAAGATGAATAAGCTATGGAGGAAATACATCGTAAATGGAAAAATAAAGTGTGTAATGGGAAGAGGTGGGTGGATGTAATCTGACGTGATGGATAATGGGAAGAGGTGAGGTGTAATGGGAAAATGTAATGGGTAGGTAGGATTAATTAATGTCAAAATAATTAAGGTAAGTAATTAACATAAAGTAAACATGTCATTTCAAAAGTTAAAGTAGAGATAAAGTAGGAAAAAGTTTCCAAATATAGTATGGGACAATCATAGTGGGACGGTCCAAAATGGTAAAACGGGACTATCATAGCGGGACGGAGGGAGTATTTGTTATTGATAGGAATTAGATTTTTTTTATTTTTTAATGTTTGTAGTTAATGTTTGCAGTTCTTTAATATGTTTCCCCTTTAATTTATTGTATCTCAAGAGGATATGTCCTCATTTTAGGGGTTACTAATAGGCTTTGGCTTTGTAATCCTATCTCTTAAGTGTTGTTTGGTTTAAATATTGATAATCACATCCCATGTTTAAACAATGTTCAGTCTTCCATATTATTTCTATCTTTACTTAATGATTATATACCTCATTCAACAAAGTGCTCAAAGACATGGACAATATGTGTGTGCACCAAGAAGGAATTGGCGCCAAGAAGGAATATGTTTAATTGAGTTGTCTGTGAATAAGGAATGAAATGTCTGGTCACAGACAATGATCACTGAAATGGTGTGGAATTGTCTGTGAATCGAAATGAAATGTCCAGCCACAGACAATTGTCACTGAAGTAGGCTAATGTGCCAAGTGTAATTGTCTATGAACTAGGCACAAAGTTGTGCCGAAGAATGGTTATTTTATCACATTAATTAACATATGTGGAAAAATTGGTTGTGTTCCATATAGATATTATATATTTATAAATGATGGGGAAACTAATCAATTTGAAAGTCATGATTGTTACCATTTTGACATTTTGGCTTAGCCACCCCATCTCTCTAATTGTTATTTGGTTTTAATAGCACATGTAACTATTGTCTTAAAGTTAAATATCTCGTTCAACTTGGTTTTTCAAGACATGGGCAATAATTGTCGGTGCCAAGAAGGAATATGTCCAAACATTATTTTCAAAGAATTTATTTTGAATTAGACATTGGTAAAACAAATAATGGGGAAAGAATTGATTTGAAAGTCAAGAAAGAGAGTTTCAAAATTTGAAACAACCTCATGTCTGGTTCACATGCAATATCATATAACACGTTTGGTCATGCAAATAGTTATTGTCTGTGACCCGACACTTAATGTCTGGTTCAGAGACAATTGCACTTAGCACATTAGGTCATTCGAGTGGTCTTTGCTTGTGACCAGACACCTCTTGTCTGTTTCACAGACAATTGCACTTAACAAATTATGTCATTCCAGTGACTATTGTCTGTGATTAGACACTTAATGTCTTGTTCACAAACAATTTTACTCAGCACATTAGATCATTCCAGTGGCTATTGCCTGTGACCAGACACTTAATGTCTGGTTCACAGACAATTTCACAAAGTGCACAACGTGTTAAATATTTCATAAAGGATTGAAATTTAGTCCATTTATTCATTTGGCTACATTGATAATATTTGTTACATGAAGAAATCCATATAAACCACATCTAAACTAGCTCAAAACACTTAAAATATAAATAAAGTTTCAATGCATTAAATACAACTTTCGTATGAGGAAAAATGTGTACATTTCCTTTCATTTGTGACCTCCTTCAACCTCCTCTAGCTCTCCCTTTGGTGCAATCCCTCCAATCCTGAAGCTGAATGAGTTGTTTGAGTAGAAGTCAGAATTCATATTCTACTCTTGAATCAATTTCCGCATTCTCCTAACAATTCTCATAACACATTGAACTCCAAAATTTCTTCTTTCTCATAACAAACTCTTTAGCGCTTGGCACTGATGATTCAAAATTCCACGAACGAAAACGTACTTTGTAAAAATAAAAAATAAAAAACCATCCAATCAAATTACACACCAAACAACCTTTAAAGTAATCAAAATCTAATAATTAGTCTGATTATTGGACAATAAGCAGGACAAATAGAATGAGTCGATTAATGCTTCCAAGTCGATTAGTGCATACTTATGAATATTCATGTGCTAAATTGGAGAAGTGAAATTGTTTTTGTATGTATGTATGTGATGATCATCCACCGCCGCCTTCTACCTTCCTCACCCTACCATCATCATCATCTTCACACTGACATCCTTTCCCTGTGTCACTCGGCTCACTCTATCCGGCAACTCCAACAAACTCATGCTCAGGCCGTCCTCCGCCGCGTCCTCCCCTCCAGCATCTCCGTATGCGCCGCTCTCATTCTCCGCTACACCCTCTTCGCCTCCACCCCCACAACCATCCACACTCTCTTCTCACACACCCTTCCCTTCGCTCTATCTCCTTTTCTCTACAACACCCTCTTCCGAGCCCATGCCCTACTTGGACTCTCTGCCCACACTCCACTCTCCCTCTATAATCACATGCTCAGCACCGGTCTTATGCCCGATGATCATACATTCCCTTTTGTGCTCAAGCTCTGCACCGACTCTTTTGAGGTCCCCAAAGGCTTAGAAGCACATGGGATGTTGTTCAAGTTGAGTTTTGATTCAGATGTGTACGTCAACAATACTCTGCTTTGTTTTTATGGCAGCACAGGAGATCTGGTGGCTGCACTCAAAGTGTTCGATGAAATGCCGCGCAGGGATTTGGTGTCGTGGAACACCATCATCAGGGTATTCTCCGACAATACTTGCTTCTACGACGCACTTAGAGTGTTCAGGGAAATGTTATCTCTGTCAGAGGTTAAGCCTAACGCAGTTACTGTGGTAAGCATGCTGCCCGTTTGTGCAGCGCTTGAGTATGGCAACATGTGTGGGCAGATTCATTGTTACATCTTCAAAGTGGGTTTAGACACTCAACTTAGCATTGGGAATGCATTAATTGATGCTTATGGTAAGTGCAGAGAGGTGGAAGCCTCGATACAGACCTTTGATGAAATGATCGAGAGGAACAATGTCTCGTGGAATGCAATTATTGTTATTTTTGGCTGTAATGGCTGTTATAAACAAGCAATTATTAGTTTCAGGTTGATGATTAATGAGCGCATGGATTTAAACTCCACTACAATCTCAAGCATTCTGCCAGTCTTGACCGAACTAGGCTATTTTTGCAAGGGAAGGGAAGTCCACGGTTTCTGTGTGAGGATGCATTTGGATAGTGACGTCTTTGTTGCAAATTCGCTTATTGATACGTACTCTAAATTCGGGCGTTCGACCGAAGCATCCAATGTATTTTACAATATGGATAAGAAGAATGCTATATCATTTAATGCAATGATTGCTAACTTTGCACAAAATTCACTCCAGCTTGATGCTCTGGCTCTGGTAAGGGAAATGCAAGCTGCAGGTAAAAATCCGACATCTGTGACCTTCACTAATCTTCTGCCAGCATGTGGCAGGCTGGCATTCGTTCGGCCCGGGAAGGAAATTCATGCAAAGTCACTTCGTAGCGGGTGTGCTTCTGATTTATTCGTATCAAATGCATTGATGGATATGTATTCAAAATGTGGGTTTCTAAATCTTGCTCAAAATATATTTGACATTTCCCAAAGGGATGAGGTATCTTACAACATACTGATTATTGGTTATTCTCTAAGTAATTCTTGGAAAATCTCTCTTTCTCTTTTCTCCGAAATGGGCCATCTTGGAATGAAACATGACATGGTTTCCTTCATTGGGGCCCTCTCTGCGTGTTCTAATGCTTCTGAAATCAAGAAAGGAAGAGATATTCATGGTTTTGCCATGAGGAGATATTTTCATTCACATCAATTTGTGGCAAATTCGCTTTTAGATCTGTACACAAAGTGTGGACGGATCGATATCTCTAGGAAGATCTTTGATCGTATGCCAGCTAGGGATGCGGCGTCTTGGAACACCATGATATTAGGGTATGGAATGATCGGTGAGCTTCAAAATGCTGTGTATTTCTTTGAATCCATGAGAGACGATGGGGTTGAATATGATTCGGTTTCCTATATCGCCGTCCTGTCGGCCTGTAGTCACGGAGGGCTAATTGAAAAGGGAAGGAGATATTTTGATGAGATGGTTGCTAGTAATGACATTAAACCAACTGAGAAACACTATGCTTGCATGGTGGACCTTCTTGGACGGTGCGGCCTAGTTGACGAAGCTGTTTGTCTTGTTCAGAGTTTACCCTTTGAGGCTGATGCTAATGTATGGGGTGCTCTTCTTGGGGCTTGTAGGTTGCATGGAAAGCTGGATTTAGGTTGCTGGGCTGCTGACCAGTTGCTCAAACTGAAGCCCAAGAACTCTGGGTATTATGCACTGTTATCCAACATGTATGCTGAAGCGGGGAGGTGGAAAGAGGCAGATATAGTTAGAGAGTTGATGAAAGTAGAAGGAGTGAAGAAAATGCCCGGGTGCAGTTGGATTGAGATGGAGAAGGGCGTTTATGCTTTTGTTGTTGGGGAAAGATTCCAACAATTGGATTTGTGCTCCCCTGTTTTGTATGACCATTCGGAATTTAAGATTTGATTTGCTTCTGGGGGGCAGGCATTTCTACCGTTGGAGGATGTATGTATCATCCCCGCATTTTTGTTTCCCTACTCCATATATGGGTCCGTTTGAGACAGAAAATTCCAGGGAAAGAAAATAGGGATGAAGCTGAAGGGGAGAGTTTTGTGGGGAGGAGATAAAATATTACTGTATTTCGAAGTACAGTAATATTTTTTCAAACACAATTTTTGTTTTTATTTTCAAAAAATAAAATACTCCATATTACATACATGAAAAGAATTCCAAACATATGACTTTTTTCAAACACAGACGGAAACTAATCACATTTTAATTTCCTTTTGCATTTTCTGAGGTAAAACCAAACACAAGAAGCTAAACAATTTCATATCATTTTCCCTCTTTCTTTCACTAGCATTTTCCGTCACAGCTGGGAGGGAATTTTGTTGAGAAATTCAGTCCCAAATAAGAATCTAATCTCACAAATGTGATAAATTTCACAGAATCAAGCACATATAAGGACACTAACCGGTTGGA